TATTTATCATTAATAGGGCTCAAAAAGGAAGTAAAGAAATTAAAGAGTAAAGTATCAGCAGGCTACTATCTTATATTCAATCGTACGATTAAAACACTACCACTGCAATACCTCCAATGTCTCGTTAACTGCTTCAATCCATGGTTAAAGGACTATCGATACTCGGAAGTCTGGAAACTTGCAGGGGTAATCAAGCTTAATAAGCTAAGCGCAGGCATCCCTCAAACAGACCAAACTCGACCTATCTCATTGCTGCCCATGCACTCTAAACTTTTCGAAAAAATAATTTGAACAAAATAAGATATTGGGCAGAGACTAATCATCTAGAACCTTGAGAAAAATCTGGTTTCAGGCCCGAAGGTTTGCTAAGTACACGTGTACTTTCAATATACCAGGAAATCAAAAACGAACTAGCGGCTAACATGCCATGTCTGGCGTTGTATTTCGACTTCAAAAAAGCTTACGATGCTGTATGGCACGCTGGAACAATAATAAAATTAAATAGACTAGAAATACCTAAGGAACTTTTCAAAATAGTATTATTCTGGCTAGAGAACAGGAAGGCGTACATCTCACTGGGAATAAAAGATCCCACCATATTCAGGGTGGACATAGGCCTTTCGCAAGGAAGTAGCCTTAGTCCATACCTGTTTATTGTATACCATAGTGATATTGTTCACTGTGTAGGAGCGCATCCAGTGCACGTATGTGCACATGACTTATGTATCATAATCACAGGACCGATAACGAAGAACCTGCAGAACACGAACGATTATTTAGGAAAAGAAGGTACGAAAATTTGTGAGAAAGTAATGGAATACGTGGAGAAATGGAAACAGCCGATAAATGTCAGAAAAATAGTTGGGCAGGTATTCTATTCCCAACCAATTTGCTCGGAAATTAAAGTCCTTATCGAGAACAAAGAATTAGAACTAGTGAGGCCGTTCAAATACCTAGGGTTCACATGGACAAGCAAGCTATCATTACAACTGACAATATATAATTGCATCGGAAAAGCAGACAGAGCCATAGCGAAAATGAAATGGTTGAAAGAGAATAAAATCGTCTCGCTCGAATTTCTACGTAAATGTCTGCTCACATTTACCTTCCCGCATTTAGCGTGGATCTTTCCTCTCTAGCCCTTCCTTCCACAAGGACAAAAAGAAGCTTTAAATAGGAAATTCAGAGTTGGAATTTGAATAGCACCTACGTACACTGAAGCGAAGGATCTACACACTGTAACAAAAGAGGAAAGTTTAGAGTTCTATGTGAAAAGGTATATCAGAAAGCAAATAACGAACGCGAATAAAACCGATTTTAGTCTCTCTCCCTTCTTCGAAGATATATTCAAATGGGATTGGATGAATTAAAAGAAGAATGATGGAGTCGGACACTTTCTCAGAACGAGAAGAGTGAAGAAGCACCTGGAAAGACACGAGGTGTTGCTGATAAAATGGATAGAACTCGTAGCGTAAGAGCGAACCCCAAAAGCCGAAATGAAAAAATATATAATTATATATAAGGGGAAGAAGACATAGCTCCCGAAAAATAAACGAATTGGACCACGAACTTCTTAGCCTATCTCTATCTCTTTCTCCTTTTTGCACATCAAGCCTTTGGTTATTGTGTACTTTATCTCTCTTCTTCTCGATGTCCTCAATCACTATCCTTTGATTTCTAAGCACTCCCAAATCAACTTATTCAATGTCAACATTGCCAAGGTGAGCAAACGCAAAAACTATTTCCTGATGGGCAACAGCTAAAGATCGAATAGATTCAATAAACGCCTAGCATGCAAAAAACATTTAAAAAATACATCGATTTGTCAGTTTCATGGCGAACATTTGTTTTGGTGTGATTGAGTTTGAAATAAACTTTTTTTCCTTTTGAAAATGTTTATTTTGAGCTGAATCTAGTGAAATCATAAGCCATCTGATAATCTTCTTGAGCAAAAGACGAAACACGTGTCATGGCAGCTCGACTCACACACCCCTATCAACGCTATAACTGGTAAAAAATGTTTCTAATGACAAATAACAGTTGTACAATAGAAATGAAACTGGGACTTCTGGTCAGACTGACTAATCCCATGTAGTGTTTTTTATGACGCAATAACATTTTCATTATTTTGTGTCTTAAATATGTATCTCATTTCATAGAACACACATGCATAAGCACTCTTTCCGCATTATTACGATATTTCAGCACTGTTTCACCTCACATTGAAATTTTCAAAAAATTAATCCTTATTATTTATTCTGACTTTATTTTTAAAACTATAGATAAAATAATATCCCTAGTTAGAAACGACCAGGACTGCGCTTCTTCACCCACACTCTCAAATATTAACAAAACAATAAATTTGCTATCAATGTATCTAAGTAGTATACATTGTTATTCCTTTATTTGATTTGTATAACACACCTGTGGTGTAATTGATACATCTTCAGTAGCAGCATATCGTCCACTAATAGTAAACAATTGTCTTATTTTTTTATATGTTAAAAAAAACGATCTAAAATAAAATTATATTGAAACCCATCCCCATAATATATCACCAAAAGATATTTATAAATAAAGAGCGAACAAATTGCACAAAAGAAAAGCAAAAAGTTTAATCAATCTTAGCAGGACTAAATTCCGTTTTTCGAAGAGCATCAAGAACCATATCCATATCATCTAAATAACATAATCAGAAAGATAAGCAATAAAATTCTCTTACTTCGTAATGTTTGAAACATATTCACGATCTGCTCTTTACTATCAATAACTTCAATTGATTGTGTATACGGATTATAATGTATGCTAAATGGACGCGGAATGGTCATTGCATATTGCCTGAATAAAAAAGAAAATATCAAAAGAGGTGTAGTTTTATTAAATCAAACATACTGGAATTTTTCTGTTGCATCTTTAAAACTTTCAGCTAAGAAATAAGTTGGTTGATAAGTTGATGTTTCATGGGGCTCAATTGAAGCGCGGAATGGATCAAATGGTATTACAGATGATTTACCCGAAAGACAATACTAAGAAAATCTGATCAGATTAAATAAATCAGAAAACAAATCTTTACTTGTAATTCACCAAATGACGATAAAATAGCAGCTCCATAAGCTTTTCGTTCATTATTTTCAACACATAAACCAAACTCAATAGTAAACCAGTATACTGCCTCTGATAAAACAAATAATAAAGCTCCATACAATATAACCAGATTTTCATTCTCATTTTTCAGATGTAATGGAGTAGTCTTTCATTGTACGAGAGAGATACATACACAGACAAAGCATTCGAAAAGTGTCTGATAACTGTAGGAAGAATTCGAAAGTTGTGTAGTTTTATGTCTTATGTATGTATTATCAGACTGCATAGGTGTTTAATGCGATGCTAAATCAGTCACGAGTTATGAAAGGAAATGTTTCGAATTTAGCTACAGTCACTGCATTAAACTATAAGTTTCACTCAGATTCAGTATAGTAGCCTCACGAACAGTGGAGTTCTACACTGCGTCAATTACTTTTTCAATACTGAGAAAACTGTGCTGAACATTTCAATACATTATAATGTTATTCTCATAAATTCATACCTAAGCGACTTATATATTCATCAGATGCACCTAAACTAGCCATGCCAATTTCTTGACTAAATTTTGCAAAATCTGGATCAGAAAAAAGTGGCACATGACCAAGTAATTCATGACAAACATCCGGTTCTGGTGAAATCGTAGGGTCACTATGATGGCGAACATATTGTGTTGCATGAAATACACGAAAAGCCAAACCAGCAAGAAAATCTCGTGCTGACAAAAAACCTTAATTAAATCTATTCATAATTATAAGACAGAAAATACAGTACAAACCAGCTACGGGTCGAAGTCGAAAACCCGTACGTTTTTGAAGAAATTGCGATACATCTTCTAATTGAGGTATATTCGTTTCATTATAGCCACAACTCTCAATCAATAATGGAAAAACGTTATTAAATTCTTTACATGCATGTGTTGGATACAGTTTAGTTAGTTCACGAAATATGGTTCCCCATATTGCGATTTCTTGTTCTGTGTAAGTAATACGCGGAATCGATTGACCGTGTCGATATTGATGAGCTATATCAGCAAATTCTTTTCGGCGTTTAACATAGACCGGATCATGAAGACCAGGATAATCAGAATGTACTCCAGAATCTAGTGAAACAACACGATTAGCAAATTGATCTAAATCATGGATTTTTCGCGGAAACGAAGGTACTAAATGAGAGAAATATTTTTTTTGATAAAAATCCAAGTTATAACAAACCAGATTCACTCAATGTTTTATGAGCACGTGAAAGTATATGAAGGTATTTCGATTCCTGATGTAGTTGTTTAATTGCATTGGCAACACTGCCTCTCGTATTATCACATTCAACATAGAATTCATGATCACTTTTATTTTGACGAGACAATCGTGATTCAATACGAAGTAAATTAACACCATGTTTCTAAAAACAAAAAAAAAACATTTTTTTGATGGTTAAACAGATGAGATAGTAAAATAAGAGATAATGGAAGATTTTTTATCGGTGTGAAGCTAGCACGAACAAACGATATGTTATGTAAAAACTTTTTTACTAAGTATGCCCCATCCATGAAAACTACACCATTCGATGTAGAATTGAATTCTGAGTCGAATGGTGTAGTTTTCATGGATGGAACATGTTTAGTAATAAATTTTTTACCTAAAATATCACTTGTTCGTGCTAGCTCCGTCGCGCTAGCTTCACATCGTTAAGATATTTTTGTCTCACCTCGAATACTTGAAGTGCTCTAGCTAAAGCACCAACTTCTTCATGAAGCGAGAAGAGAAGTGACGTTTTTGTTGGACACTCTTCATTCTAGAAACACGAATATTAGATATAAAGTTGAATAATAAAACAAAATAAAATAAAAGTACGCCTGTCGAAGCCAATTTATTGGCCATGTCGCCTTTATTTTGTTCTTGTGGGATTCCATTAGCGCCAGCCTTATTGTAAAAAAAAGTAAAAACATTTATCGCTTTTTTTGTGAACCACCACAAACCTCTGATACGGTACTCATAACGAATACCTTTGCTTGTTAATTAAATACGAAGTATTATTAATAGAAGAATGTGATCGCGTCTAGAAGAACCACATATATGCACTTATTCAATCTGGCATCGGCAAGACGCAAAAAGGTACCATTTGGGCGATGATTTTCAATAACTAATGGTATTTTCCCAATAAAAAAATTGAAAAGAAAAAAACGAACGTGTAAAAGCTATTTTCAAACGATGATAACACTTAAATGTTACAGCACTTCTTTTAGACTTTTCTGTAATGATTGACTAGGTAGCAGCTTTTGCTAAACCATTTTTCCCAGGTTTGTTGAAAACTTCTATGTAGAATCTAATCTTCAGTTCGGAAGTCGAATCGATTTTGAAAGTGTTCTAGAGTTCGGTGAGGCTCGAATTCAGGTTGGGTCTCTTCCGAATCTTATGAATTCTTTCCAAAAGCTCCTAGTTTTTCATTTTTTCTTGATTACTCTTTTGCTGCACGCGGCCTAACTATAACCGACTATGAAATTACTTCTTTTGGCTTATTTCCTACACCCTTTTACCGATTGTCTAAACTGATTGAAAGCAGACCCGAACGTTCGCGTGCGATGAATGCGATGAATGCCTAGAATGGTAAAGACATTCGATATAAAAGCTTTTCGACATGGTTTTCGAAAGATTTTGTACTAAACTTTGTATGGAAAACCTTTTCCCTCACGAAACCACAAAAGTTCAGCAGCTGTGCTGATGAAAAACTCCTTTTTAATTTCATAAAGTGCTCTTTTTTTCGAGCGTTTCATTTCGTATGTGTTGATTCAATAGATTAAATGAAGAAGGGAGATTATTTCGCTGTGTTATGAAATTAGAATGTTTATGAAAAGGGTCAATTCCTGTGGGCAGTGTACATTAAACTTCGGAGTACTTTCCAGTACTGCCTTCAAACTGAGAAATCACACACAGAACATCAGCTGATAGGATATTGTTGTTTCACTTCTGATGCATTCGTATTAAATATTTGCAGTAGTTATTATAAAAAGTTTTCCAATTCAAAAGATTATTTTAATCGATTTTAAGATATTCTATAATGTCTATCAAATAAGATAAAAGCTATTTTTCGATTATATAGCTCGTCAGATTTATTTATCTTATACCCTGGGTGTTTCATAGGTTTTGAGGCGCAAGAAAGCCAACTCGATGTTTGATCTAAGACTGAAAGAAATATCAACACAAACTTTTTAAGATCATACTTTTGAAATCGATAAATATGAGTTTTTCGACAGGTTATCACGTGAAATGTTAAAGCTATTTTAGGATAGGAGAAAGGCAATGGGTGCAAATATTAGCGTTAGTAGGCATCTATATAATACTCGTTATAAATCACTAGCCACATGTCAAGCCAAGTTGAATACGCAACGAATTAAATGAATTGCAGAAAAAAGATTGTTACGTGTATAACCACGAACCAATTGCAATACGCAGAGCAAAAAATATGTTTGCTTGTCCTACGATGTTCGTTCTCTTTTTCGTTAATAACATTTATTAGTCATCTGAACGATCATCTAAAACGTACTTTCCGATTAAATAAATCAATCGGCAAAAGGGTACATATTCATTCATTTTATTTTTTACTTTAGTTGTTTTAATTTGGCTTGGCCTTACCCATTCTTTTTTCGATTCCTATTTCTTTCGACATTATCTGGTTTTATATCTTCTCAATCACTGTGTAAAGAACAAAGATTATCATTTCGAATATTTGTATCATTATTGAAAAACAAAATCGTAATTGAACTGCTTCGAACACTGCTGACTTTCTTGACCCAATCAGATAATCCACCAGATTTAAATCGACATAGTTGAATGAGCGAAATATATTATTTATTACACAGAGGATGAATATATAATAGAAAAAGATCTGGTGGACCCCGAACTATCTCCCCCACAGATTATCGAAATCCAGTTCAACAAGAAATTCCAATGAAAATCAATGCTAGTATGAGAAGTGTATCAGAAAAATTAAAACAAAATGGTTGCAAAACATCACCTTCTTCTGTTTATAGAGTAGCAAATTCATTGGGACTAAAATGGTTTAAGAAGAAAAGAGTACAAAAACTAAGGGTACTTGTAATTTATGCAACCAGCACAATCGCTCACAAAGATATCTGAGGTATTGATCGGCATATGGTTGAGTGAATTTTGCAAAGATATTAATCTCAAGAATATGTTATTCTATAATTCAGAACTCACAAAACTTCTATGTTTATGAAAAGAAAGAACATTGGTATGTTTATAATAATTCAAGAGAGGAAACCGATAGAGAGAGATGTGCGGTTTTCACGATTAAACTGGGAGTAGCATTGCGCGTAATTCCATAGCAAATATCTACTAACGAAAGAAGAAGCAGTAAGAGCCATTNAAGTCGAAAACCTGTACGTTTTTGAAGAAATTGTGATACATCTTCTAATTGAGGTATATTCGTTTCATTATAACCACAATTCTCAATCAATAATGGGAAAATATTGTTAAATTCTTTACATGCATGTGTTGGATAAAGTTTAGCTAGTTCACGAAATATGGTTCCCCATATTGCAATTTCTTGTTCTGTGTAAGTAATACGTGGAATCGATTGACCATGTCGATATTGATGAGCTATATCAGCGAATTCTTTTCGGCGTTTAACATAGACCGGATCATGAAGACCAGGATAATCAGAATGTACTCCTGAATCAAGTGAGACTACACGATTAGCAAATTGATCTAAATCATGAATTTTTCGCGGAAACGAAGGTACTAAATGAAAGAACTATTTTTTTTTTCAGAAAAATCCAAGTTATAACAAACCAGATTCACCCAATGTTTTATGAGCACGTGGAAGTATATGAAGGTACTTCGATTCTTTATATAATTGTTTAATTGCATTGGCAACACTGCCTCTCGTGTTATCACATTCAACATAAAATTCATGATCACTTTTATTTTGACGAGACGATCGTGATTCAATATGAAGTAAATTGACACCATGTTTCTAAAACCGAAAAACAAAATTTCCTTTCTTGGAAAAACAAACCAATTTATGTTAGTTGCTGAGCACCTTATAGCTTGGAGCTCAAATCTATTTTGATAATATTGATGATTAAACAGATGAGTGTGATAATAAAATAGGAGACAATAGAAGATTTTTGACTTACCTCGAATACATGAAGTGCTTTAGCTAAAGCACCAACTTCTTCGTGAAGTGAAAAGAGAAGTGACGTTTTTGTTGAGCACTCTTCATTCTAGAAACACGAATATTGGATGTAAAGTTGAATAATAAAACAAAATAAAATAAAAGTACGCCTGTCGAAGTCAATTCATTGGCCATATCGCCCTTGTTTTGTTCCTGGGAGATCCCAGCAGCGCCAGCCTTATTGTAATAAAAAAAGTAGAAATATTTATCGCTTTTTTTGTAAGCCGCCACAAACCTCTGATACGGTACCCATGACCAATATTGATGAATCGTGTATAGACGAATACCTTTGCTTGTTAATTAAATACGAAGTATTATTAATAGAAGACTTTGATCACGTCTAGAAGAAACACACATATTTACTTATTCATTCTGGCATCGACGAGATACAAAAGGTACCATGCGGACCATGATTTTCAATAACTAATGATATTTTCAAATAAAAAACAATTGAAAAGAAAAAACGAACGTGTAAAATCTATTTTCAAACGATGATAATATAAAACGTTACGACACTTTTGAACTTTTCTTTAATGATTGACTAGATAGCAACTTTTGCGCAATCATTTTTGGCAGGTTTGTTGAAAAATTCTGTGTAGAATCTGATTTTCAGTTCAGTAGAAGCATGCATCGAACCGAATTATTTGGGTTCTGAACTGTTCCATCCAAGTCAGACAAGGTCCAGCATCTGGATAATTACGAAACATTTCTGAAAGTTATATAATCGATTTTAAAAGCGTTCTAAAGTTCGGTGAGGTTCGAATTCGGGTTGAGTCCCTTCCGAATCTTGTGAATTTTTTCCAAAAGTTCCTAGTTGATCATTTTTTCTTGATTATTTTTGTGCTGCACACGAACTAACTATAACCGACTATGAAATTACTTCTTTTGGCTTATTTTCTACATCCCTGTATCGATTGTCTAAACTGATTGAAACCGGATCCGAACGTTCGAATGCGATGCATGCCTACAATGGTAAAAACGTTCGATACAAAATCTTTTCAATATGGTTTTTGAAAGATTTTGTACTGAACTTTCTTAGGAAAATCTTTTTCTCACGAAACCATAAAAGGTTCAGCGACTGTGCTGATGAGAGGCTCCTTTTCAATTTTGTAAAGTGGTCTTTTTTCGAGCGTTTCATTTCATATGTGTTGATCCTTTGTGTTAATTCAATAGACTAAATGAAGAAGGGAGATTATTTCGCTGTGTTATGAAATTAAGATGTTTATTAAAAGAGTCAGTTCCTACGGACAGTGTGCATTAAACTTAGGAGTACTTTTCAGTACTGCCTTCAAACTGAGAAATTACACACAGAACATCAGCTGATAGGATGTTGTTGTTCCACTTCTGCTGCATTCGTATTAAATATTCGCAGTAGTTATTATAAAAAGTTTTCGAAATAAAAAAATTCATTTTAATCAATTTTAAGATATTCTGTAATGTCTATCAAACAGGATGAAAGCTATTTTTCGATTATGTAGCTCGTCAGATTTATTCATCTTATATACTGAGTGTTTCATGGGTTTTGATGCGCTAGAAAGTTAGCTTGATATTTGATCTGAGAAGGATTGAAGTATCAACACCAACTTTGTACGATCACGTTTTTGAAATCGATCAACATGAGTTTTTCTGTAGATTATCCTATGGAATGTTAAAGATATTTTAGGGAAGAACAAAGATAATGCGTACGAATATTAGCGTTAGTAAGCATTTATATAATACTTATAAATCATTAGTCACGTGTCAAGCCAACTTGAATATGCAATGAATTAAATGACTTGCAGAAAAAAAATTTGTTACGTGCATAACCACGAACCAATTGCAATACGCAGAACAAAAACTATGTTTTCTTGTCCCACGATGTTCATTCTCTTTTTCGTTAATAATATTTATTAATAATCTGAACGATCATCTAAAACGTACTTTCCGATCAAATAAACCAATCGGCAAAAGGTACATAGTCATTCATTTTATTTTTTACTTCTGTTTTTTTAATTTAGCTTGACCTTATCAATTCTTTTTTCAATTCATATTTATTTCGATATTATCTGGTTTATGTCTTCTCAATCACTGTGTAAAGAAGAAAGATTATCATTTCGGATATTTGTATTATTATTGGAAAAACAAAAACGCAGTTGGACTGCTTCGAATACTGCTGACTTTCTTGACCTAATCAGATAATCCACCAGATTTAATCGATATAGTTTAATGAACGAAATATATTATTCATCACACAGAGGATGAATATATAATACAAAAAGAACTGGTGGACCACGAACTATCTCTCCCACAGATTATCGAGAACCAGTTCAACAAGAAATTCCAATGAAAATCAAAGCTATTATTAGAAGTGTATCGGAAAAATTAAAACAAAACGGCTGCAAAACATCACCTTCTTCTGTTTATAGAGTAGCAAATCTATTGGGACTAAAATGGTTTAAGAAGAAAAGAGTACAAAAACTAAGGGTACTTGTAATTTATGCAACCAACACAATCATCCACAGAGATATCTGAGCTATTGATCGGCATATGGTTGAGTGTATTTTGCAAAGATATTAATCTCAAGAATATCTTATTCTATAATTTAGAACTCACAAAACTTCTATGTTTATGAAAAGGAGGAACATCGGTATTTTTATAATAACTCAAGTGAGGAAAGAGATAGAGGTGTGTAGTTTTCATCATTGGACTTGGAGTAGCGTTGCGCGTAACTCCATAGCAAATATCTACTAACGAAAGAAGAAGCAGTAAGGATCATTTTGTGATAGATATAACGTATTCGGTTGATTTCCGGCAAACCGTCAATTTTCATCTACAGTCAAACGGTAGCATCATGCTTGGCAACGCCCGCTTTGATATAAACGAGTCAGACTGCGTCCTGTATCTTAGATTGGCCAATACAATAAGTTATTAATTGAACTACTCTTATGTCTATTTGCTCAGAATACGGTCTTTTAAGAGATAGATATATTATAGATCAAAATAGGACACTTAACTATGTTTAAAAAGTAAATACAAAGGTATGGTCTCTGCGAAAAAATTTCCAGAAATTGTGTTTCTCGATACGATGTCAGTGAACGATCAACTGACTTAATTATAGAATCAGGCAAACTTTGTATGCCTTTCCACGCAACGCTATTCCAAGTCTAATGGTGAAAATCGCACATCTCTATCTCTTTCCTCACTTGAGTTATTATAAAAATACCGATGTTCCTCCTTTTCATAAACATAGAAGTTTTGTGAGTTCTGAATTATAGAATAAGATATTCTTGAGATTAATATCTTTGCAAAATACACTCAACCCTATGGCGATCAATAGCTCAGATATCTCTGTGGGTGGTTATGGGAACTCACAATGGTGTTTATGAAGACTATAGGAAAGACTTTGGGTAGCTGTGCTGAAGAAGTCGATTTTCTGCTGTTTGCTGAGAATTTATTTTCCTTAAATCTCTTANAGGAATTTCAGTTGATATTCGGTTGCAGTAGAACTATCGTATTTTCGATGTATTGGTCTTATGCAAACTCCCTGCCGGAGGCCTTAAGTTCGAAAAAGAAATGAAAGTTTGATTTTAGATCTCAAATTTTGATCAACTGGAGAAATGAGCTAGAGTAGTCTATACAGGAGAATTTAGAAGTTTTGATCAAGCTTTGATGGACATAGGCCAATTGAATAGTATTGATTTGTCTCCACGTAGAGTACATCCTTTCTCCAATATCAGATCTCGGCGGAACTTAGGCTAAAATTTCTGAATTCTCTTGTACAAGCTACTCTAACTTAGTTCTCTATTTGAGTGATATTTGAGATCTAAAATCAAACTTTCATTTCTTTTTCGAACTTAAGGCCTCCGGCAGGGAGTTTGCATAAGACCAATACATCGAAAATACGATAGTTCTACTGCAACCGAATATCAACTGAAATTCCTTCAAGGCTTTTAATAGATCACTATGTACTATCAAAATATAAGGGAATTTTGAAAATTAACTGGAGGCTCCTGTAAACGTTCTTTCATTTAGTCAAATTTGGCCTTAGGAAGGAGCTATTGTGGGCGCACTATTTCGAAAACAAAAGAGTTTTCAGAGCTAGAAATTTTAGCCTTTTTATATCTTACCTAGAAGCTAAATTTTTCACGAAATTTTAGAAGGATTTCGCGTGACTATCGTGCATTGACTCATACGCAGTTTCAGCCCTTTTCAAGGAATCTTCAGGTAGAAAACTAAAATTTGTCTCAAAAATAATATCAGATTCGTAATTAGCGTTAAAAGCTGACGAGGGAATCGCCTCAACTGACCAATCACTTTTTCCGGGAGAATTAGTGGATCGTAGGCAATTGAGCATGCTGATTCCGAATATCACAATCATTTGAGTCGCTAGTCCTTTATTATTTCGACATCTAGATAATCCTGTTTTGTAGCCATATGACATTTTTTCGAAAAAATCATTTTATGCGGTCCTCACATGAAAGAGAGGATCTCAAAACCTACAAACTCGTATTTAGTTCATCTATCAAATGATTATTGATAACAGCATAACGGACAGAATTCTATTAAATAAGAATTTCTGATCGTTTCACTTATTTTCTCTTTTAGCAGAGTAAATTTATATAACATTCACTTCTTTAAGAATTTTCAATGTTTCAATTATGAAGACATGAAAAAACGTCGTTTTGGTTGACAAGCAATATTCTATGGAAGCGGTGAATGTTTGTAGAATAGTTTAGGATTATAAATTGAAGCGGAAATAGAAAATATTTCCGTGTAATTATTGTTAATGCGAAGACAAAAGAACCGTTAAAACCTCTCATTCAATGAAATTCTATCCGTTATGGTATCACCAATAATCATTTGATACATGAACTAAATACGATTTTGTAGGTTTTGGGATCTCTTCTTTCATGTGAGCACCTCATAACACGTTCTTTTCGAAAAACGTCATATGGCTACACAACAAAATTGTCCAGATGTCGATACAATAAAGGGTTTGCGGCCCAAATGATTCGTGGACGGAAAATTCATCGCACATGTAATTAATTGTGACAAAGTTAATGTGTAGGTACGACAAACTTTCATTGATAGAACTTATTTTATTGAAAAAAAACATAAAACAAAACTGTCTATATTGATACATTTACAGCTATGTTCTTGAAGTATTCGCTGAGATTGACGTTACCATAATCAGTGATCAAGCGTGTAATTCGACTGTCGAGTTTTCGATATATTGTTTTCTTTGGTTTTGATTCATGGTCTTGACGAATTCGAGCAATATCGATTTCAAATTTTGATTGTTTAACTGGGATCTTTTCGGTTAACTTGAGACTCGTCGAATGACCGATTGAAACCTGGTGTACAAACGCATTGTGCCAATCTTCAATAGAGTTATTAGAATGTGGAAGATTAGAAATTAGCCGATCGTAGACATTCCAAAGTTCAATTGAAAATTGTGGTTTCGTGCGACCAGTACCTATAAAAGTTGATTTCGATTCATTTGCGATTTTTCTGAATGATCTCATCTCTTCTTCTTCAATCTTCAATCCAGATTTGTTCGAATGCTTTGACAACATCTACAATAGGTACAAAAAATAAAGCGATAAGCTTTTTAATGTCTAAATCGAACCACTTATCCTTCTGGTGTTTGTTCTATAATCCGTAACTTTGAATGTTTCGCCAAACGCACTGACCAAAGTGAAACAAGCAGCCTAAATGACAGCATATGCGACATAAATTCATTTCCTATAATCAGCATTATTCTTACCTTTGTGAACAACACTTGGAAATATCGAATGAATTGATTCTATCGTACCGGATTTGAAGTCAGTCAATATTGAAACTCGATTGAAATCATCCTCTTCAATAATACGTTCAAAAGACTGGTTATAGTCAGATTTACTCCTCCGTGTGAGTAACCCATAAACCAATTGAATAACTTGTACTTTAAATAATCCTTGTAATGTGAACATTTGACAGAAATCGTCCGGGCACACCCAAAGGACGCGATTTTGCGAAAGAAAAACGAATTTCTTTTTCTTACTTTAAATGTTCCGTTCGCGAACCAATGTTAACATGTTTGCAATACTGAGAAGTTCGAGGTGGTCGTGTAAATAATCAATTTATTGTCTTCGTGAAGGATAAAGTTCTCGCCACGGGTTATTTGTTTTAGATGAAAAGGCAATCTATTATCACGCCTTACTTTCGGTGTTTGGCTTCGTCGACGATCTATTTTCTGTAGTGCGTCAATTGGTGGTAGCTGACCAACTGCATCTATAGGAAAATATTTTAATTCAGAATAGAAAAGCTTGCTTGTTGGCTCTTCGCTGACAGGAGCTCGGGACTTGATTTTGTTTTTTAATTCAATGAATAGTAGTTGGTCGATAATTGGCGCATGGCAATGTTCAGCGGGTTCAGAAAGAATGGTGTTCATACTTGAATCGGTTTGACAACGGTCTAATGAAAGAGAAAAGTTAATAAAAATTCGTTTTACTGAATTTACCTTCGCATTGACGGTTTTTTTACACCGAAAACTGATTCTTTCTTTGTTGCGACGTCCAACGGTATAAAGATAACCATTGTAGTCCAACTTCGGTTTTTGCTCGCCAGTGAGAAGCATTTTGATTTCGATCATTGGTTTTTAGTAAACGATTGTACGGATAATACAAGCCGAGTGTAATTGTCCCATTTTGAGAAACTTTTATATAAAATATCCTGATTGATTGGCCTTTCTCAATCTCCCAGGGTGTTATTAGAAAATTGGATTTGACTTCGAAAACTAACACACTTGTCCAAGAATCAATGTTTATTTCATTAATTGAGAAACAAGTTTACATAAGTTAATTAAAAAAACACAAGTCGATACATGAATTAATTACATGAGCGCCGAATTGTCCGTGTGCCAAAACATCACAGATATTTTTTATCTTTTTTAAATATCTCTTCGAAGATTAGTTAGATTGCATTACCGTTCTGGAGTTTTTGATTTTTACACACTAGTTCGTTTCGATAATAGGAAAAGTGGAGTAAATATTTTTGTATGTCAAACCTTGCAAAAATTGTCGATTTAGCTAGTGGCCGTGTCCTAAATATTGTTAGAGCTTTTCAAAATCGCTGGAGATATTTCAACATATTTGTGTAAATCTGAAAGACTGATAAGTTAAAGAGTGCATTTTCAAAGATCAATGGAATATCAAAGTTCAGAGGATCCCTATCGGAACATTTCTGGTAGTAAGAACAAGTTTCTCATACTAAATTGTTTTCCATGGCATCTGACCAAAATTAGTTCCTGTCTAGTAAGGCAAACTAACATGATTTCTTCTTAAACTGCAAAAAAACATACGTTGACGATAGTATATAAATACGATTAGTCCAATAAAGAACCAAAGGCATCTTCGAAGGGGTCTTACTTGTAGATGTTCCACGCGGAGACAGTAGTGCTCCATTATCTATGTCACTTATACTGTGCGTCGCTAAAAATCAAATTCGAAGTAGAAATTAATTATCGCATAGATAGGCGATTTTGACGACATTCGACTGTGTTTTTCGATGAACAGTAAGAGAACCGGTTGTATTTACATGACTAACATAATCGTCTCTTCCAATAGCAACCAAGAACAAATCACTTGATCTGTCATTTAGCACTGTTATATGCGATAGTTTGGCATCACTCATGATCTGAGTTCGTTCTCTGTAGCTCCTGCTAATGCAAACAATATTTATAGATAAATCATCCTTTGTAGTCTGGTGGTCTCTGAATATACCAGGTCTTAGCTATGCCACTACTTTATTTCAAGAGCCGATATTTACTGGTTATTGAAAATACCTTCGTATGTGTTCGAATGACAATCCCCAGCTAGATACTCTCTAGATGGCCGAGTACTTTCCACTCAAATGGTTTTGGACAATGAAAATGGTCTCTAGATGTTTTTAAAAAGGCAACTGATCAGTGGCGAAATCATTAAAATCACTACAACACACTCTGAAAGGATTCTGTATAAGTGCATCTGGTCGTGTTTCGATCTTTGAGGAGAGTTGAGTGTTTAAAAGGGGTACTTTCGGCAGACGTATGTAAATTCAGCTAAGAAGTCGTCTGAATGTGTCTGGACACAGTTTTTGATCGTACAGCAGTAAAATTTGTGGATACTATAGAGATGAAAGGAGAAGGAGAGAAAAAGAGTGGATCCTGGTGATGTGAGCGGATCTAGAATGAAACTTTTTAAATTTATATGGGAGGACTCAGGCTCGGATCTCAAGAAATATTTAGCTGCCCGTGTAAATTAAAACGTAGATAACGAGATGCGCTGTTCTGACAGACTGCAGATTTATTCCTGAGCTAATGAACAACCGTGGAAATTATAGAACATGTGTCGTCTTTAATGCGATCAAGCGGTAAATGTATAATGATTGATTGACTTTCTTATCCTATTGCACAATAGCTGATGTTCACCATGAATATTCATCGTTTAGTTTCCTCATGAACTGATGCAAAACCAGTTTTCATTGAGTTCCTACAATTGTAATCTATAGTGAATTGAAAAAACCACACTGATCATCATCTTTCAGCCGAGCTCAAGTTACACTTTTGCCGCAGTTCATCTACACGAATATAGATGATCGATTGTTTTTGCTCCGCTGAGTTCTGTTTTCGTCAACAAAGCCAGGGGAGAATAAAGTTGTTCGTGTGATATCCACTCAAGCAGTTTCCTTCGTTTTTCTGGCTTTCTCTACATTCGGGCGAACACGGATTCTAACAGACAAAAAATAAGCTGATCAGAAAGGGTTATATGAAACGAAGCTCATCCAATTAATTCTCTTTTAGTAATAACAATGACTCAATTATATGCGTTGTCGTTTATTATACTCGTTTGAATAGATATCACCACAGAAATATTCAACGATAAGTTGATGGGTTACGTAGAATAAAAGCATTCCTAGCTTCACGATAGCGAGACGAAGAGCCTTCGAAAATGCGACGGTACAGGCGGAGCGAGTCAGAGAACGTCAAGGATTGAATTTCACTGCGCATCAAAAAGTCGCTATCTCGCATGCTGTCGATGTACACTGCCACTAACCTTAACAGTGGATATCATAAAGAAACAGTACACTTGTAGTCGCAATATGATAAATACGATTCATCCAAATATAAAGCTTTCTACTGGAAACTTTGCAGCACTCGATTATATCTCTATTGCCGCCGTGAACTTCCTTCGCTCAAGTGTTATTTTCTTACATAGATCGCACGTTCACGACACATTTTATTCTTAACCCAGATATATTGGTTATTTGAGATGAAAAATAGTTTCCACTACCCTACTATATTTTATGGGAAATAAAAGTTGTTTTTGTGAATTGTTCACTCTGGAAAAGTTATAGTTTCTTGAAGACGTCAAACATACTGTGCATGCTCAAGGAAAACATAGTGCTTTAGTCTGGCTCACAACTTTCGAGTGTACAAGTGGTTACAGCCAGTATCTTCACTCAAATTTGACGTGTCCTAAAAGCTAATACAGCAAAGAAGCAGGAATACATTAGCGTACAATTTTAATCAGAGTTGCGACACAACTACGACTTACCGTGGATCATAATTTAGTAATGAATTAAGCAAATTCACTGATGCTGTGGGTATACAGTAATAACAATTTATTGGAAAATACAGGATGTTGCTGAGTGACGAAACCAATCGTCAGTGCGCTATGATTGTTGTATTTCTAATTACGATATACAACCTGAATGTCTTAGCAGGACACAAATAGCACATCCAGAATCTTCTAAAACATTGAGTCTATTGAATAGTCGTTTACCACAAGTCGCCGGTTTAAACACTTACACTTATAGACATACATATATCGTTAGTTATCCACGCACAGATAGTCAGTAATTCTAGTATTATAGAAAGATTTGCCGCTCGCAGTCTTCCTAGATTCTCACAATCTAAACCTATCTTCAACGTAGTACACCTACCTGCACGATTCTCAACACCCTTCTACTTTCCATCTTCTTCCTCACCCACACCTACGTTCTCAAAACAGATAAAAGCTATAAAATATATAACCTGCAGAGGGATGACGAAGTATTTGAATCCGAACTGCAACGCGTAGGTTCAGGAATGGCTTTAAATCAATATTTACACTCGAGCTGTACTAGTGTTAGGAGAGGAAAAGTGAAAAGATTAGAGTTTGCTCACGTGCAGCTGCAACCAGAGATTTAGTAACCATCAAGACTTATGGGTTGTGGTTCGGCAATGAGTTCACCAGTTTCATAGATATTCCACTGTACAATATATACCAGTTCATCGATGAATCTCAGACATTACTGGACGTCGAATCCACTTCAGGTGCACCATTATTGTTGCATTTCTAATCTTGATATCTTATCTAAACCTATTCTCAAAGTCACTACTCACTCACAGAATCTCCCTGAAGCTTGAGTCTAGTGGATAGTTCACCACACTGCTAGTCGTTAGTCCCAACACTCCCGTTTGTTGACATGCACAGATGGTTGAACTTCTACTCTTATCGAAAGCTTTGCCCTTCCCACTAGTGACCGCCCATGCGTATATCTGAGCACCTTGTGAGTTCTCAATATCTCAATTTATCTTCAACTTAACATATCCAGTCGCACATTTTTCAGCTCTCGCTCTTCTTTCTCACTTTCACATCCACCCTCACACTTCCATTAATCTTTATTATTCACAATCAAACACACATACATAAAACTAAAAACATGTGTCAAGCGTTAATGCTAGTATCTACTTCTTGTATTGCCATTTCGGCGGCCAACACAATGGATGAAACAATCTTCACCTCACATAGCGCGTTAATTTACGAGTTTTCCAAAAGATATGACTCTCGTAATAGAACGTTTGGCCTTAATTTCTAATGTCATAATAACAGCGGGAGGTGTCAACCGATAATGAATCGCTTTAACGTTGTTGTGTATAATACAGTTTCATGCAACAATGTGGTAGTTTATCCCGTTCATATAACAATATAGAAATACACAGATCGTTCATAGTTAAGATATGCGTATTCATAGTAGATGTCGAGTTAGCCGAAAAGCGTGCTATTTCATTTGTTACTACTTGTGTCCCAAATGTATCCACATTCACGATTTCAGGATTATTTCATCGGCTTGTCTTGTAAACATGTTCCAGGAAAACGACGAGAGAAACAGAGAGGAGATGGCGAGAGAAAAACTGCTGTTCCGGTTCAAGTCGTGCTTACTCATAGCATTACCCCAATTTCGGTTTCCCGAAATTGTACGCGAAACAACAGGAAAGGAGAAAAAGATTGTACGTACCTGTAAATAAGACAGTCTTTTGTGCAGGTGATTGGTCTTGAACGAATGTGTTTGGAAGGTTCAACGAAAATTGCATTTGTAAAAATGACTGTAAATCCATTGAGTTATATGTCCATTGGCATATTCACTTGTCATCCAAGGAGAAGAGTAACGAATAATCGACGCAGTAGTTAGTGATTGAACAGTTTTACGAGATACAACACGCATTATATACTTCGCGTAGTATTTAGATGACTGTCCTCAATACTGGAGCATGTTTGTTAGACTGTTTACTGCTTGCCTCCATATTTGAGACAATGGGTTTACTACATGCAAGAAGAGAAGCGAAGAATGTTGGTAATGGGAGGAAAGCGCTTTCCTACATAGTTGAATCAAATACTATTATGCACTTATCGTCTCTGAAGTTGACGCTCTTCTCGGCGCAGATTTAGCATCGTTATTGGCATTGAACGTTTGCGAGACGTTTGAGCGTTTTTTATATTTAACTGACTCTTGAAGGGTTTGTTGAAAGGTAATATGAATTCCATTTGCACCGCCACGCTGGTAGTGTTGAGAAATGGTTGACTTTGAGCGATCAACTTGTTTCTTTAGATCAACATAAAACGATGTTGATGTTTAGTATCTTTTGCGAAGGACGAATATTGTACGTCTATCGCATTACTTTTTCTTCGTGTGTGTGTTAAAAGCGAATGCATCCTTCATGTTATCTACTTTGGTCGATCCACCGTCGAATACGTGTGGAGAAAAAATATAGGTATGTAAGTATAAATATGTCTTTGACGTCAATGCCCAACAATAAAGAAGGACACAAATCAATGATCACGTTGGTTTCTCGCCATTTATTAATCCTTGTATATGATAAAATATTTGGTAAAAAAACGCTCCAAATGATAAAAAAGAAGTGGAGAAACGAAAAAACTGCAAAATAACCACTTAGTTTTACGGGCTCGTCACCCACGAAATAAAACAATGTCTATTCGCTACAAGTCTATATGTTGATCTCATTTCAGAGCTATGTGTTTTGAGTCAATGCAGTGAAAAGTAAAGAATGACAAAAGATATCTGTTATCATATAGTTGGTTCTTTCTGTGTGGTCAAAAGAAAGTCGATTCGGCCACATGAAATAATATCCCACTCGCCAAGGTTCGAAAAATAAATTTTTTTATGTACACCATTTGATAGTATAATATTAACAAATGAATAAACGAAAGTAATGAGAGTATCAATCATTTTCTATTTGCTGTGACGTTTCGTCTTAACTATAAGGACATCATCAGGCACGTATGAGTTAGAGAGGTTTACACAGTACATGTATATAGAAATGAAAGACGTTAGTCATCACCAATATTTTAAAAGATTCCAATGTAAGGGTGAGAAAAACGATTTGTAAGCAGTGGAATGCTTTGGAATATTCACGATGGCTAGTGTCTTTCGTTTCTATATATATGTACTGTGTAAACCTCTTTCACTCATACGTGCCTGATGATATCCTTAGTTAGGACGAAACGTCACAGCAAATAGAAAATGATTGATACTCTCATTACTTTCGTTTATTCATTTGTAAATTTTTTAGTGAAGAATATTTGAATACGCTTCTAAATGTACTTTTCCACGTTGACGGTGAATCTGTCTTCGGTTTCGTAGAAGAAGTACATTTCAAACTTTCTAAGCGAGAAAATTTTTTAGAAACTATAACTTATCTATCTAAAAGCTTTGTTTTGAGTGAGTTGACATGGTAGGTTCTAGCCACTTGACTCTATGATCGTTTTTATTAGCACGTCATGTATTGGGACGAGTGAATGTAAACAAACTCTAAGAAAGAGCCTAAAATTGTTTACCAAAGAGGGCATTCTCTCATAAGGTGGTTTCATTATTCGAGGTGAGGTGCCATTNCCGTTATCCCCCAGGAATAATATTATTTACTACCCTGTACAATAGGGACAAAAGATAAAGCAATAAGCCTTTTAATGTCTAAATGGAACCACTTATCCTTCTGGTGTTTGTTTTATAATCCGTGGCTTTGAATGTTTCGCCAAACGCACTGGCCAAAGTGAAACAAACAGCCTAAATGGCAGCATATGCGACATAAATTCATTTCCTATAATTAGCATTATTCTTACCTTTGTGAACAACATTTGGAAATATCGAATGAATTGATTCTATCGTACCGGATTCAAAGTCAGTCAATATTGAAACTCGATTGAAATCATCCTCTTCAATAATACGTTCAAAAGACTGGTTATAGTCAGATTTACTCCTCCCTGTGAGTAACCCATAAACCAATTGAATAACTTGTGCTTTAAATAATCCTTGTAATGTGAACATTTGACAGAAATCGTCTGAGCACACCTAAAGGACGCGATTTTGCGAAAGAAAAACTAATTTCTTTTTCTTACTTTGAATGTTTCGTCCGCGAACCAATGTTTAAATGTTTTCAATACCGAGAAGTTCGAGGTGGCCGTGTAAATAATCAGTTTATTGTCTTCGTGAAGGATAAAGTTCTCGCCACGGATTGTTTGTTTTAGAGGATAAGGCAATCTATTATCACGCCTTCCCTTCGGTGTTTGGCGTCGTCGACGGTCTGTTTTCTGTAGTGCGTCAGTTGGTGGTAGCTGACCAGCTGCATCTAAAGGAAAATATTTCAATTCAGAATAGAAAAGCTTGCTTGTTGACTCTTCGCTGATAAGAGCTTGGGGCTTGATTTTGTTTTTTAATTCAATGACTAGTAGTTGGTCGATATTTGGCGCATGGCAATGTTCAGTGCGTTCAGAAAAAACGGTGTTCCTGCTTGAATCGGTTTAACAACGGCTTAATGAAAGAGAAAGGTTAATAAAAATTCGCTTTATTGAATTTACCTTCGCATTGGCGGTTTTTTGCAGCGAAAGGTAATTCTTCCTTTGTTTCGACGTCCAACGACATAAAGATAACCATTGTAGCCCAACATTGGTTTTTGCTTTCCAGTGAGAAGCTTTTTGATTTCGACCTTTGGTTTTTAGTAAACGATTGTACGAATAATACAAGCCGAGTGTAAATGATCTATTTTGGGAAACTTTTATATTAGATATCCTGTTTGATTGGCCTTTTTCAGCCTTCCAGGATCTTATTAGAAAATTGGATTTGACTTCGAAGACTAACACACTTTGCCAAGAATCAATGTTTATTTCATTAATCGAGAAACAAGTTTACATAAGTTAATTAAAAAGACACAAGTCGATACATGAATTAATTACATGAGCGACGAATTGCCCGAGTGCCAAAATGTCACAAATATTTTTTATCTTTTCTTAAGATCTCTTCGAAGATTAGTCAGATTGCATTGCGATTCTGGAGTTTTAAAAAATTTTTTACATACTATTTCGTTTTGATAGTAGGAGAAGTGGAGTAAATATTTTTGTATGACAAACCTTGCAAAAAATTCTCGATTTAGCTAGTGGCCGTGTCCTAAATATTTTTAGAGCTTTTCAAAATTGCTGAAGATATTTCGAAATATTTGTGTATAATCTAATAAAACATCAATTCAATATATTTACTCTCTTCCTAGATTTGTCTACATTATCATCTCTGTAACAAAATGTGTAAGACGACAAGAGGTCAAAAACGAATATCCAGAGTTTATCAGAATCTTCGTCATCGGAAGATGAAACTATTGCACCGTCTCCATCAAAATACGTCGCAGTGAACACATGTGACGGCTTTCACCCAAGGCTAGAGAATTATTAGATATAATCACGACCTGTAAACATCTAGTGAAATACGTGACACTGGTAAGGTAACAACATCGATGGACAAGTTGTTTCGTTTGGATTGAGTATTTTTATTTAGACAGGTTTGAACAAACCAATTCAAGATGCCGGTGGCGTTGCGTTGAAATAAGCCACGGAAGTTCGATTGCTATCCATGTCAAACTTACTGGAATCGATTGAATTGTCCATTGACTACCTCAGATCAATCTTGACCAAATCAACAAGCATTAGACAATCCATCAAAGTTAATTGAAGTATACGTTGAAGGACTGAAGGATTTGATTTGCCCTCTGTCGGTTTTCAGAGATG